TCTCAAGAGCGGATGACAATTCAGATTATGTAAGTATCACATGAGCGATTGTCGTTCTGACGAGGTGAACCACACATCGCTTTCTCATCCACCATGTCGTCTACAGCAAGTGATAACCGTCATCCCTATATTGTCTACGTGCCACGCAGTAAGAATTCCGTGCCTTGTCCCATTTACGTTCCGGAGAACGCATTCATCAAAACCTTGGAAGAGGCAATTTGTAAAGAGCGGGTTTTCGAAGATGACCTACAGGGGCAATACCCGATCCTCCTCAAAGTACTTTCTCATCCGTCTTCTAGTCTGCCATTGTGCTGATAATTGGTGTTCTTCTTTAGTGTGGTAACCTGAAGATGCTCCCACGCCAGTCACTTTATGAAAGTGCTTTGGAGTGGCTTCGCCAACGTACGGGTGATGGGGAAGATGATAAGCTTATGATGCCTGCAATGCGTCTGCGCAAGTATTTCCCTGGTGGACCTACTCCAGAGGATGAAGAAGCGATAGACGTTGTTGTCGTGACTAATTCCAGTATGTATTCTGTTCTCTACCCAATACCATATCCAACCGACTTCTCCCTAGTTTTGGGCAGTTTGAATTATACTGCTCTCAGCCAATCCGACTCACTGAGCCAGTTTCACGACGCAGTCACATTTACAATCCGTCGTGATGGAAATATAAGGCGTTGGCACTCTGTGATCACAGTAAATGAGTATTGCCGTCAACCGCAGATTCCGCCGTTTGTCGAAGCCGTGGTCCGATTCCCGAGAAAGGCAGCAGACAGTAGTAGCATGGCCTCTGCAGTATTTATTGCTTCCTGTTCTAAGACGTATATTTTCCTGATTGCTGATTGTTTTGATAGTTTGTGCAGGGTCTCGAAAGTATGCTTAATACAATCACGCCTGGAGGCAACCATGCTGAGATTCTCAATGACCTCTTGAGTAACAAAGACGATGCGGCTCCATATGCTCGTTTGCATCCTGAGATCGTCCATTATATTCATGCCATCTTGTGGACGAATTGTTGGCGATTGCATTCAGGCTCGTCTGGCACGGATTTCACAGAGGAGCAGGCACGCCTTATCGTGCTTGGGATCTTCATGGAATATTGGCAAACACAGATTGAGGGTACACGGGGCACGTTGTGAGTATTCCACTATTTCACTGTATGTATCTCATTTTGTGTAGTCACAAGCAACTTTCGTTCTTTTTGATCGCCAAGGACTTCAATAGTCACGAGAAGTTCAAGTATCGAACTCAACCTGACGCTGCCCTCTATAAGGATGATTTCCCTTTCTTTCTGGCTGAGTTTGACTCAAAGAGCGATCAGGATGATAAAAACCGGCTACGTGTCCAGATGGCGTGTGCGCTGCGCCTTGCACTTGCTTTCCGACAAGTCGATGGCTATAGTGACGAGAATTTTTTCCTCATGGGAGCATATTTTAGCAGAGATTGGGATATTCATCGGTATTTCTTCTACGCTGTTAAAGGAAAGGTGTGTCTGGAAGCACTCACTAGGTTTACTCAACCTCACCACGTGTTGTAGGTGTATTTTCATGAAAGCCAGTTCAGTATGACAGATAACAACGCTTTTCTAACGTTTCTGCAAGAGTTCTACAATTACGCTCTGTATGTCAAGGATGCAGACATGCTTCGTGACAAGAGCCAGTATATTGCGAATTTGTGCGAGAATGTCAAAAACGTGTTCCCAAAGAGTCTTCACACGAAAACGACGGAAGAGAAGAAACGATCAAGGGGATCAAATACAGATCAAGACGATACAGGTCGCAGTACAGGCCAAGGCTCAAGCAAGCACAAACGCACTGTGATGATGGTCGCACTCCGGAAATCGGGTTTCAACGTGCAGGATGTTGGATATCCTGAGGAATTTGAGCCGTTCACTAGGGTGTGTGTCGAACAAATTCGACATGGTCTTATACTAATAGACAGGTACAGTTGCCAGCTCACGTAGTGGAGGCGACTAGTCCCAATGGGGATCGAGTTGTTGCAAAACTCGGTCGCAAGGACTCTGCTGAGCTCTCTCTCCTTCAGGAGTTATCGACGCAATCGTCTTTGCATAACCACGTTATACCACTTTTGGATACGGTTTCGTCGAGTTTGGGACCATTGGCAGTCCTTCCTCGTGCAATCTCTCTGCGGGAATTTGTCACATTCGACTTGTCCGCAGATAGGCTTGGAGTCAAATCCGTGCAACTCAACCGTGAGCTGATTGAGGGCATCGCCTTCCTCCATCGGCAAAAGATCGCGCACCTTGACATCAAGCCCGAGAATCTTGTGTACTCAGTCAAATCTGAGCGTCTTTACATCATTGACTTTGATATTGCCATGCGGTGCAAGGATGTGGACGAGATGGTGAAGGTGTCCTGTGGGACTCCCGGTTGGAGTGCTCCAGAGATTGCCCTCAACAATGATGAGGCACCTCGCGTTTTCAACCCCATCAGGGCAGACTTGTGGTCGTGCGGAAAAGTCCTCAAGTTTATTGTTAAGAGGACTCGTCAAAACGACAGTATCTTTATATGGCTGGCTGGCCTGCTCATGCACACTGATCCAAGACGCCGACCCTTACTACACGAAGCAGTGGATGAAGGACCAGACTTCTGGGCATCGGGACGGCTTCTTCAGGCTGTCAGAAGTCAGGTGTATTCTGGCAAAGCTGGGACGCTGAAAAGGGCCCGTGTCGATACTAGTCACGTGGGCAAGGGAACGCCATCGTCAAAGGTCAGGAGAGCGAGCGTCTCGACCACTGCACCCTCACCCTCTTTTTCTCCACCTGCTTTGTCTTCATTGCCTTCGCAACTGTCTTCGGTTTCTTCATTCGATTCCTCCCTTGCTACGCCTTGCATGTCGGATTCCGATGACAAAGCCGATGGCTTGTCTGTGCTTCATGCTAAGGTGGATGTATCTAGCAAAAGAAGAGAATTCCAAGCTTTTAACGTTTAAGCTTTAGAATTGATAGACTGTTTTATACACTTCTTTGTACTAGAATTAAATATAGTACAATGTCTGGGAGTCATTTAGTGCAATAACTTGTTACTGTCAAGAGGTTAAGCAATTCTTTTAGGAACAAGTGAATATAATCATGAGAAGAGAAAGGCTGCCCTAACAACTGCTATTTACTTAATAAACACAGTACCTAGTACTCACCCTTCCCTTGCACAATTACTACAGGAGCAGACATGTATTACTGTTAGATTATATACAGTCATCATAAATTCATACAAAAAATCATCTTTGCCCTGCAAAGATCAGACTAACTGAGCAAATTGTAAATGACTAAGGATTGACTGTTCACACTGACAGTCATTTGTCTCAGAACATTAGATGAATTTCCTTCCATCCAATCACAGTATTGATCTGATATGCTGACATTTGTCCTACCAGATGATAATTAGATCAGATTAGGTAACCAATTCCAAAAACAGAACAGATAAGAAATGTAAATAGGTTATAATGTACAATACTGAGCAAAACTTTGATGGCAGGTCTAGGAGTGTATGACTCTAGCTCAAGTGACTCTATTGAAGATAGAATTGTTAGAATTATGCTTTTCTACAGAATGATGTAACAGATTTTCAAGAAAATAGAAAACAACCAAGTTATTTCTGAAAGACTTTTTTTTGCTCTAAGTGAACTTATTATTATTTTGCTACACAAAAAAAATTCTACATTACTTGATTCTTGTCAAATTTTGCCACCCTCAGCTACAATATTATGACAAATACCTCCCATATATAGAAATTACGTAATTTATAATACATAATATAATTGTTACAGAAAGCAGGCTTAGTGTAAGCCTGCCTGATAGCTTACAACAGTTTCTGCACAGTTCTGTAGTACAGAACTGTAGATACTGTACACAGATTCTTACAGTAGCTTACTAAGCTACACACTTCTTTCATGTGCTTGTATCAAGTCCCCCTTTTGTTATAACCACCTTCCCTACATTCCTAGATACATACTATCCCTTTTTGTCTTTGTTAGCAACAGTGTAGAGGGGACCTAAAGGCTTAGTAAGGGGACCTAGGCTACAACTATCCTACACAACAGAAATGCAGAATGTAAGTACTAGAACATAGTCAGAACTCACAGAACAGACAGAGAGAGAGAGTAAGGCAAGAGTAGAGTATATAGAGTGAGCCTAAGAGTACAGGACTACCTAGAGTAGACAAGATTAAGACTACAGGACTAGTCTAATCTTGTACATCTATATATACTAAACTATACAAGAGTACTCAGAGAATATGAGCTACTAAGAATGATGAGCTATGAAGAATAAAAGAAAGGAAGGTCAAAGATAAAGGTACAAAGAATGAAGGGATGGACAAAGGGTAAGAGACTATAGAATGAACAAGGAATGAAGGGGTAGTTAAAGGAGCAGAATGATAAAGTAAGGAGAGGTAGTAGTAAGAGTCAGTCTGTATATAGTCTATAGACAGTACTCCTGAGGGACAGAAGTCCTGAGTTCTGGTACAGAAGGGTGCAGAACCTTTGGAACTAAAAGTGTAAGAGTAGAAGAACTGTAACATCACCCCCCCTCTAAAACCAATTGTCCTAATTGGTGAACATTAGACTTGGTTAGTAGTTTGAGTATAGGTTGGAACAGTAGGGCTTGGAAATCTGTGAGGCTGAGTTTGTGTAGAGTACTCAGATAAAGTTGATAGAAGTCTTAGATTGTCTTCCTAAGTGTGTTCTTTAAAGAGGTACTCTTTCTAGTAAACAAGGAACTTGAGCTTTCTGTACACTAGCTTAGCATCTACTATATACTCTACTTTGTATTCTGGTTTGAAACTAATGAGTTCTGGTAGAGACAGTAAGGGTCTTTGTTGTAAAGGAAAACCTGGATTGTAGTACTAAGACAACAGAACCTTGTTAAACACAGAGTGTATGTACTTTTATATTGCTAGAAGTTAGAGTTTGTAAGCAGAGGTACTGACCTTCTTTTTAATAACAAAGGGTCTAAAGTGCTTGTTGTTCAATTTCTTTATTAGGTGATCTGTGGTCAGATTAGTGGCTTCTAGTATAACTTTGTCACCTGGCTGGTAATCCTTGGCTGCAGACCTCTTCTAATCATAGTTCTGCTTTATAACCTGTACTACCTTCTCTAAGAGAGCTTGTGTATCCTCTCTAGTCTTGTGTATCTGTTCTACAAAGTCTGTTACAGATTTGGAACTACTGTTCTGACTCAGAACTGTCCTCTAATACAGATGTCTTCTATAGTTGAGAAAGAATAGAGACTGTCCTGTTACAGAGTGTTACTAGTTATTATACACAAATTCTGTTAGAGCTAACCATTCAGACTAATCTGACTACTAATGATTGATAAACATTTAGAGATAGAGCTCAATCTCCTAATTAACTTACTCAGTTTGACTATCAGTCTGTAAGTAATATACAGTAGAAGGGTTCCCTTAAATTCTGAGAAGTATGTATAAGTCCTATATGAATTTTGACTCAAATTACAGTCTACAATTGTGAATGAGCTTCTGAGAGAGTCTGTACAACCAGAAGACATGATTCTGATAGATGTGTACTATACTTTCAAAAGTGAGTTCTGTTCAGGTTAGAACTGTATAGACTTGCTTAGAGAATCAGTCAACAATTACACAGATAGTGTTATAACCCTGAGACTTGGGTAGCTTACTAATCATGTCTACTAAGACTTCTTCCTAAGAGTAATCTAGGATCTGATACAGATGTAGAGGAGTCTGAACCCTTGTCTAGTGAGCCTTAGTCTGTTAGTACATATTACAACTAGTTATATACTTTAGGATTTCCCTCTACATTCCTAGCTACTAGTAGTTCCAAGTGATGAGTTCCTGTGTTTTGTGTCAGCTAGGATGTTCTATAGTCAGATTGTTGTAATAAGCTTAGACAATGTCCTCCTACAGCTTCTGATCCTTTAGAACATACAGTTGGCCTTCCTAGTAGACCTGTCTGTCCTTATCCTCCTCCTAGTCCCTAGCCTACTTCTCTAGCTACTTTACTATAACCTAGTCCTGTGTGTGTCTTAGAGCTTACTGTATGTGAGTGACAAAGTTAACATCCTCAGATTTGAGTTGGATCTCTCAGATTGTCTCAGACACAAAATGGGAATTGTTTAGGAGAATAAGATTTTTGTTGTCATTCTCCCCCCTTTCATGACCTGCTTGTCTTAAGAGTAAATTGGCTTTCATCATTTGTATTCTGGGTTTGTGGGTTAGTACAAAGTTGTAGTCTTACAGTTCTAACATCTAGCAGGCCTGGTAGTAGTTAAGCTTCTAAGGTGCTTAGAAGTACTAGAGATTAAGGTGATTACTCTAAATCTCAAACTTTTGTGTAGTACTAAGGAGATATTGATACTACTCCTCTAGAGAATAGACAATTGTAAGGAGTTCCTTATTATAGATAGAGTAGTTCTGTTCTGTTACAGAAAGGGATTCTAATCAGAACACTATCAGACACTACTTTCTATCAATGAACTAGGACAGTACTACTCTATTTACAAAGTTAGAAGAGTTGGCTTTGACTCAGAACTTGTCTACAACTGTTGGAACTACTAATACAGGCTTACTAGTAATAGCCTGCTTGAGGGACTCAAACACAGACTGCTACTGATCAGCCTATTACTAAGGAACATCTTTGCTAGTAAGATTGTAAATAGGCTAAACAATAGTACTAAAGTCTTGAATAAAGTATTAGTAGTAGTTTGTAAACTCAAGGAATGCTTGGACCTGTTTTAGGTTCTAAGGTTGTAACCAGTTCCAAACTACAGTTACCTTTGTCAGATCCATACAGACCTCTCCTCTACTAATTACAAAGTCTAGATAATCTACTAACTCTTGTGTAAAAGAACACTTTACTTCTTAGAGGAACAGCTTATTATCTTAGAGCTACTGTAGAACCACTCAGACTAGTCAGTAATAGTGCTTGACTGTTTGGGTGAAGATCAGAATATTGTTCAGATACACACTAACATACTCTGAGTCAATCAGATCTGTAAGAATGTGATTCATAAATGACTAGAACATTGTAAGTGAGTTAGTTAGTCTAAAGAACATTACAGTCAGTTTGTACAGTCTGTGATTGGTTCAGAACACAGTCTTCTACTCATCTCTGTCTTAGATCCAAATGTTATTATATTCCTATTAAATGTTCAACTTAGTAAAAACCCTGAATGTATGTGTCTTATTAATGAGCTCCTGAATCAGGGGGAGTAAGTACTTGTTCTTAACAGTACCCTTATTAAGACAATAATAATCCTGGACTAGGTAGAGCTTCCTATCTTTCTTTTTAACAAAGAAGTAAGAGGAGACTATAGAGAACTTTAAGGGTTGGATCTGACTGTTTCAAAGATTTTCCTAAAGGAACTTGTCAAGCACCTCTTACTTATCTCTGTTGAGTAGATAGACTTTATAATCCTTAGGTTAGAAACCCTTAGTCAACTCAATTGTATAGCTCTAAGAGTAATGTTTAGGAAGCTAGTTAAATTCCTCTTT